ACACTACATAAAAGCAAAAAATAAACAGTTTCTAAATTCTCATTTCAAATCACTTTCTTGTAAATTTGGTTTGGGAAACAGAAAATTCTTATAAGTGGAATATGTTGTCAGGAAATGAAAACTGCCTTCTCTGGGGGTACACGTTCTTCCCTCTGCATCTGGGGGAGTGTTTGAAATGCTCTGGCAGAGGAAAAACCCCTCTTTAGAGTCACTCCCTAACTCTGAACTCAAGATGGATTAGCAGCTCTTTGAGCAAGATCTCACTGTCTCACGCTCTGCACCAGGCAAAGGGTAAGAACTGGTGGTGTCCTGAATGCCGAGTCTGCACTTGAGTTAGTCCCAACCTTTTCCCCTCAGAGCCCCCCCATCAGAGCTCTGCACACGCAGGGCCATCCATCTGAACAGGCCTGGCAGGTTAAGGGCTCCATTTGGAGCTCATCACGTATTAGGCTGTCAAGTTACAACGACTGCCATCAAAGAATTTTGGAAGGGTTCTTTAGTGCGATTACTGCTGATGCCACAAACCAATGAGAAAGAAGAGGATCATGGCTTTCAAAGTATATGGTATTTACTTCTCAACACGGCATGTGGGAAATTTTAAATCACTCCTTTCTCCTTCCATTCTTTACTCCATTAATCATTCATATTTTTATTCATTAACTCAACAAAAATTTATTGAATACTTACTATGTGCCAGACATACACATACTACTGTGTGCCAGAATACAGCAATAATAAATAACATAAGAACAGTAAGAATACCTAACACTCATATAGTGCTTGCCCACTATGCATCAGGCACTGTTCTCAGTCTATACATTAGCTTATTTAATCCTTGTACCAATCTCCTAAGGTAAGTACAATTAATTTATGCCCACTTTGCAGATGAGCAACTGAAGTACAGAGATACTAATTCCCCCGGTCATACAATGAGTGTGTGTCAGAGCCAGGGTTCAAATTCACATCCTTTTACTCCAGTGTCCATGATCTTGATCTCTATGCCATACGAAGAAAAACAGACATGACTTTACGGAACTTTCAAAGTACTGGAGAAGACAGACATTAAACAAACACATTTGTAATCTCAAATGCCAATAAGATATATAAGAAAAGAGCAAGGTGCCATGAGATAGGATGGTATAACATAGCAGAGGCTCTTCTTGCAGGCTAAGAAACGCAGTGATAACCTCTGACGATTCTCATCTCACCAAACGACAAATGTATAAAATTTAAGACAGCAAGTTGGCTAAAAAGAGCTAGGGAAAGCTAAGGCTGGGAGGCTAGGGAAAGTGACTAAGCAATTCAGCCCTTAACCCTTGCCATAGACTCTTGCCATCCTAGTGGCCCTTCTTGTTGGTACACTCGGAATGACAAGAGATAAGGGATCCAAATGCAAGCCCCTTCTCTTATCCTCACCTCTCCTGAATAAGGAAATTCAACCTGGATCAGGTGCCCCATCTTCACACATGAAAGTGATTACCTCCGCATCTGCCGCCTTTGACCAAGAATTCTATGGTGGGGATGTCTAAAAAACGTTAAATTCTGCCTTAATGCTTTAGCTTATTTAAAAAAGAAAAGATTTCTTTGGCCTATAATGGTTAACACTTGGCTTCTGAAAACAATTCAAGATATGGCTTATAGTCAGTAAAACAAACAAACAAAAAAACACCTTTATGAGACTTGGCTAATTATAGACTTGGAAACTGACTGAAATACTGATTTAAAAAACAAGAACATGAGAGCAGAGAACCAAGTTCCCACAGTGACACAATTCCCTTTCCATCCTGATTAAAAAATATATATATATGGACTTTATTATCCTGCTTGACCAATTACATATCTACCTATTTCTTTTTAGTGTTAGAGAAATCATTCAGAAAGAAGAAAAGTCTCCCTTCTCTTCTCAAGTAGTTGTCTCTCTGTAGATTTGGGAAATTCTGCATCTCTGATTGTTATTATTTATTTTATATATTATTTTTATGTCTTCATTCTTTATGTTTGCCATGGTAAATAAGTATAGGATTACATCCAGAAGCAGTGTGACGTATTAGCTCCTAATTCTGTAGTTTCACTCTACTGAGGTTAATAATGATTTAGATGGGAGAGCGAGAGGAAGAGGGCAAGGTGTTCATAATAGCCCCATTAATTATAGGTGCTTCACACATCTAGATAGAAGAGCAACATCATTTTCAGGTCCAATAAATTAAGTACTTTTTCTAGTTCATTGTTCAGAATCATAAAAAGAATAATTTTTGATGTTGTATTGCCACAAGAAAGTCTCCTGCTTCATCATCTTATTGTATCATTTCATATGGGATTTTATATTCTACCTGGCTCTAATTTATGATGTTTTACTATATTAAAATACTTAGATAACTAAATACACAAGATAATCATTTGACATCCAATGAGAGTTAAACAGCCTCTAATAAGCAAATGGTACATTGTCTCATCTTTCATAGTTAACAAATTACACTTGAGATAAGCTTAGGTACAGTTAAATTATGAGAAGCCTTCTTAACATTAAAGAGGAATAGTCTAAAGGTTAGAAACTAAACTTTGAAAGTAACTTAGAATACGTTACATTAAATTTCTTGTTAGTGTCGTGAGACTAAAAAAAAAAGAAACCTGAAAACCACAGTAAATGTGACATTTCTCAGAAATATCTTCTATATCCCATTCCTTAAAAATCTGTGAATTGATTTAGATTCTTAATGGCCCTGTTGTCATAATCCATTCTTCTTTAATTAATATACTTCATTAATAAATAAAATTATGTCTTTCTGTGGTTCATCTACAAATAAAATATCAAACAAATTGCAAATAAAGGTTTTAGAAAGTATGCCTAGAACTTAAGGATCTTGGCTTCTCCAAAAATCAAGTAAATGTCCTTATGTTAAAGCTATCATCACATTTTACATTGACATAACGGGAAACAGAATAGTATATTTATGTCAAATTTCTGAAAACATGACAAAATATTTCAACAGAATAAATGATTTTTCTGTGCTCTATTCCAGGAAGAGGAAAGAAAAAAACACTGTAATAGTTGCAGTTTGTATTAACGTCAAAGCTGGTAATTTTTTTCCAAAGATAGTTTTCTTTCTTTCCTTTGGAAAAAAAAAAAAAACTTGGATTTAGAGCATAAAATCTCATAAAAATAAAATAGGAATATGTTGCTGAGAAATCACCTACAAATTACTTTCAGACCTTTGAAAAACAATCTAATTTGAATCACTAGTCTAAATAGGTCATTTAACTTAGAAAAATTAAAATTAGCCGTGCAGGGTCAATTCTTTTTCTAAAACATCTGCATCCTCAATGCCCTATTGTCTTCAAAGTCAAACCATAGCTAAGTATCAAGAACAACAATAATACATGAATTTATTTCAAATCTCAAAGTTAGTCTGCTCTTGAAACAGCCATAAAAGTTTACATTATATATAAAAACATAAAGTGTGTATGTGTGTGTGTAGGGGGTGGGGATGCTTCTAGAAGTTGGAGGTGAAAGGACGGAAGGAAAAACAGAAAACTCACACTTCAGGAGGATAATGGTATGTGTGAGGGGGTGTGGGTCTCCATGGTGTGCATTTCTTGCCTTTCATGTGCACATGTTCACAGTACATGGCAAATCAAAATCAGCTGAGACACACTTGATACAAAACAAACACTTTCATACAAGTTTAGTCTCCCACAAGCCTCTCTTATACCAAACTAGCAATATAACATCATGAACCTTAATGCTCTTGCCCAGCACCTTTAAGGACTTAATCATTCCATAACACTCTGGTAAACTCAAGGATCAAACCCCTACTCCCCAGAAAATCTTCCCAGGCATAGGAATAGCTACAAAATCTTGACAGTAACATCTTTAAAGAATGAGAACAATAAAATCAAACAAAACACAAATTAGAAAATTTGGCTGCCTACATTCCTCCACAACCAGACCATCCATAAAACCGAAGGGACCCCAACAATGTTGGCACAGGAGGGTGCCAAGTATCGGAGGATGGAGTCTGCCTTTAAAAGGCAGGGCATCTGAGGTGGCGGGCAGAGAGAGAATCGCATCAGGGCAGGCGGAGAAAGGAGTCGGTTTTGTTTCAGGACTCTCCAAAGCCACCGGGAGGTGCACCCCCATCCTTTCTGGGTTAAAAGTAACTTTGATGCTCAGAAAAAGTCCTTTCATATTCTCCAGCTAGCAACAATCTATCATCCACAGGCAGAGTGATCAGAGATGCTAATGAAACAGGTTTTCCTCTCTGCCCATCTCCCTAAAGCCACTTCCCAAAAATGAGATCTTGAGAAATCCTGATTCTCTCCAGACCTCTCTCTGTTTAAAGATGGAACGGAAGGATCTTTGTTCTGACAAGGAATCGAGCTGAAGACTTGACATTGGGGAATTGCTAAGGAACATTCTAAGCTACATTTTTCTCAAAAGAGGGAAACTCAAAACAGAATTAGGATTTTTTCATTTCCAGATGGATGATAAAATTTTTAGAACTGCCTGAGACAGAAACAATTTCGCTTCAGCCCCCCCCCCCAACCACCCTCATGAAGCAACGACAGAAACAGTCCCAGAGAGGGACAGAGGAGGCTGACTCTCCTTCCACTCCAACCTCTCCAAATCCGCTTTTCGCCTCGCTGTGTCAGTCCCTCCTTAGTCCCTCAGCACGCGCCCGAAACGGCCGCTTCTTCTCCCCATCTTTAGTTCTGAGCAGACTCGGCCCAGCAACCGCCCTGCCTCCGGCGCGTCCCTTTGGGCGGCGCCCCCCGCACTTGGGAGGTTCTCGAAAGCCCGGGACAAGCCGCTCGTGCCGGCGCTGGGGAACCCCGGGGGTTCCGGCCTCCCGGGGCTCCCGCCCCCCACACCCCCACGCCTGAGCGGATTAAGTTGCTCGGCACCCGGCGGCGCGCACAGCCCCCGTCCCTCCCACTCCCGCCGCTCCCCGGCTCGAGCGCCCAGGGGGCCCCCGCCTCCGCGGAGGTGAGCGCGCACTCACCGGAGGTGAGCTGCATCCAGGCACAGATCTTGTACACGGTAGCCGTGTTGCAGAAGAAGAAGAGGGTAAAGCAAACGATGCAGGCGATGATGAGCATCATGGAGAGGCCGATGAAGAACGAGGCGGCTTTGAAAGCGCCCGAGGGCAGCGTGGAGAAGTCCGTGAAGCTGCCCCTGCAGGTCAGCTCCCGGGAGAAGCCGTTGCCGATGCAGTAGTGGAAGAGCCCGAAATAGCCGGCTTGCGGGGTGTCCACGCCGTCGCCGATCCAGTAGGGCTGGATGAAGCACACCACATTGACGATGGCAAAGCAGATGGTGAAGATGGCCCACAGCACGCCGATGGCCCGCGAGTTCCGCACATAGTTGGTGTGGTACAGCTTGGCAGCCTCCTGAGCCGGGAGCATCGCGGCGGCGGCGGCGGCAGCGGCGGCGGCTCCGGGCATTCTCCCCCTCCTTCTCCTCCTCCTCCTCCTCCTCCTGGTCCTCCGCCTCCCCCCGCCTCTCCGCGCTCAGGAGACACACTCACCGAGCCGCGTGCTGCAACTCCCCTGCCTCCGCCTCAGCCCAGCAGCGCCAGTTTCAGAGTCTGCATCCTCGCTCCCGGAAGGAGGGCGGGGGAGCGCCGAGCGCCCCTCCAGCTCGCCTGGCACAGCCTCCTGGCCCCCTCCCTCCTGGCCCGGGCTCCAGCCCTCCTCACCACCCTCCACCCCTCTTCTTGCCGCCGCCGCTGCAGCTGCTGCAGCTGAAGGCGGCAAAGCCCGCGCGGGGCAGCCTGGCGCGAGAGCTCGAGCGCCCTCCACTCCGCTTCCCGCCTTCCGTCTGGCCTCCTCCCCCCGCCCGGCCCGCCCCGCCGGCTGCCCCGGGGCGCGGAGGACCGCAGCGACCCTAGGACAGCCTGCAAGTGGCGGGCATGGACCAGAGAAGCGGGCCTGGAGCTGGGAAGGGGGAATCTAAGGAGCGGGCAGGAGCACCCCCATGGATCTTAGAGGCCATCCCAGGATCCTGGTTGGCGTTGTGGGCCGGGCGCGGGAGGCTGAACCTGGGAGCGTCTCAGCACCGCACAGCAACATGCTTCGACCTCTGCATCTTTGCAGAGGCGCGAGGGGCAGCGCGGCAGGTGCAGGCGAGAGAAGCCAAGGGAGAGGAGACGTGGTGCCCCCAAGAGACTTCCCTGTTCCAACCACAGAACTGCCCCTGGCTAACTCCTCGGTTACCTCGGGTCAACAAGGTGAGGACAGAAGTTGAACAGGAGCCTGGCAGACAATAATGTACAAGACAAACCTCAAGGGTGGTCTCATATCTGCTCACTGAGCTTGTTTCCTCTTCCCGTTTTCCCCCTCTATGCAGCCAGATGAACTGTAGCCAATCAATGCCCTGTACTCTCCTTAAGTCAGGTCATTTTCCCACAAATCCTGCCATAGATGGGGCTTGTGGGGCGTGGAAGTGACGGTGTCACAGAAACGTATAGTTTGTCTGAAGACATTGGGTAGTTTGGCCAGTGTTATATTTCTTACACAAATATTCATTGGCAGCTACTCTGTGTGCGGGCGCGCTTCTGGGTGCTAAGGATACAGCGGGGACGACAGCAGATGATTGCTTTCATTGTCCAGGTATTTCCCCCTCCCCCACAGCCCAAAGCTCCAGCTAACCAGAGCTGTTTTCAGAGTAATTGCCCCTGAATTATCTACATATAATTCCTCACATTTTCATGTGGCAGTGCTGTTTTACACCTGCACTGTAGGCTCTTTCCTTAGCTTCATGTTTTCACTTCAGTCTTTCTATTGCTCTTTTAACAGTCCCTGCCTTTCAAACTCCATTTCTTTATTTTCTATGGTTACTTTTTTGCTTCCTTCTGATTCTGATATAAAGAAACATGCAACCCCCCACTCAAAGCAATGAGACCAGAATGCTCAACAGCAGCAACAGATTTTGGTAACAAACCATTTTGAACCATAAGACCACTGAATTCGCTGAGCAGAAAGGAGAGAATTCTGTTAGAATTTGAACCCTAAGTCTACACTTAATTGCACACTTTATTCTAACACAAAAACATGGGTAAGCTCCTTGACACCATCTTGCCATTATGCCCAATCTTCCCAGCTTCTTACTAGAGCAGTGAGACCTTAGATACCAGGTAGAATACAAAACTACCAGGAATAGGTAAGAAAGCTCAGAATGGTTCTATTGGGGGCTTAGGGGGAGAAGCAAGGAAAGCTCCAAAAGGTATTCGGCTACATACATAGCTACTACATGGGAGAGAGGTAAGTGATAGAGACCAACCATGCCCCTCATCTGATAACCTGAAGTTTTGAGATTGTATGGGGAGAGAGAGGGAGAAAGTGGAAATAGGGATGTAGGACACACAAGATAGTGAAGGGGCTGTTGCTGAAACTGGGAAAGAATTCAAAAGGGTGAGTATTGGAATCTTACATTCAGCCTTTCCTATAGGCATGAAATTCAGGTATTACAGTTCGAGGTCCGTTAGGCAGGTCTTTGGAAAGCAAGAGGACAGAATTAAACAGTAGCATGAGACATGTAAGTTTAGGTGATTAAGAATTTCTTGCAAGTATGGTTGTAGACTCTCAGAAGGTCTTTAAAAATATCAGAGGGGTTTGGGGGAGGTGAGGAAGATGACCTAAATATGAGCCAGCCCAATATAACACTTGCAAGTCTCTAAAAATAAAATTTGTGATGATGCATCATCAGTGCTTTGGTGGCAGTGGAGGGTCAGAGCTTCTGTTAGGTTTCGTTTATCCTAACTCCCCTGACACTGCTGGTAAATCAGAAAATCAGGAGAGTTTTTAACATGGAAGGAGGAAGAGGAAAGGTGAGGGTAATTGGATTTATGGGGCCATCTGGCAGGCCATGTGTCCCAGGGGCAGAGATAGTTTTACAGCAAGAACCGACTGTAATTTCTAGTGACTCTCCCAAGCCCTCAAATCCCCCCAAACCTGCTTGTATGAAGTGGTCTTTCTTTAAAATCAATGTCTAAAACAGATCTTACTGTTCCCATGGGGTAGTTGAGATGGAAGGTTGCTGAGAGGAGAAAGGCTGAGAATGAAAAAGCCTAGTTTAGACCTCAGTGCTTAAATTGCCTTTACAAGACGAAGACAAGACTGGCGAGTGACTCAGATTCAAATGTTGTGATTCAAAGAGCTTTTCTATTTGAGTCATGCCCAAGGAAAGCCTTATTCTTATTCCAGGTTTGGAATTGCCTCTGGGTTTGTGCTCAGAATCACTATGCCAAGGGGCACACTCAAGGTGTCAGCTCTGGTGGACAGCAACTATGAACAGACCGGTGTTGGTGTATTGCTGATCCAAAGTGCTCCCATGGATTCCCCTTGAGAATTCGAGTTGTTGCTCCTTGAGGTGAAGGGTCAGTCGGGGATGAACTGCACCCTGCCAATGGCCTTTCTCCCCACCGTTTTCCTGCCCTGCCCCACAGCAGATTTCCAGGATGAAGCAGGGTCTCCCAAGACTCTTAGAACAAGGGATGAACTAGAACACCTACAAATTCTTCAGGTGCCATCAATGAATGCAGACTGTCCTTCTGCATCTTCCCATCTACATCTTCCATTGCTCATTCCCAACCTTGCCCTTGGCAACCATAAAGCACAGAAGTAAGACTGTCCCTACTCTTAATCTAAAGCTTTTGCCTGACACCATGCAGACTTTAGGAGTTCAAACAGCTAAGCATCTGGGCAACTCACTACGTTCATCAAATATGATGTGACCAGGAATGCTATTTTAGGAAGGAGGAAATAATAAAACTAGCCTGATTCACGCTAAGAAGTTACTATTGATAGAAAAGTATTTTGAAACTGTAACATGATTCATATGTGCTAAATAACTAGTAGAAGTCAGTGTCATTGACAGCATGGATTTAGAAACACTGAACATTCAAATCTCTATCTTCACTGTTAAAAATGTTTTTCTTGCTGCCACAAAGGGTCAGTAGTGAGACCCACTCTTTTCCCCAACTGAGTCTTAATAAGTCTTAATAAGTCTTAATATAGTCTTTTAGGACTATAAAAGAGAATATAACAGAAGAATGGTTTGACTGTGTAACGCTACTAAAAAGATTCTGGGTGAGTTAAAGGACTAAATATTTTGATCTCAAACTAAGCCATGATGGCTTGGGAAAGTGTGAAAGCCTTGGAGGGCAGGAGACGAGACCCAGACGTAGCACCGTAGCACCGTCTCTGCCTAACTGTGAGAGCCTGAGGGCTCCATTTTCTCATCTCTAGAATTATGGTGAGGGAGAGTGGATGTCAGCTGAATTCTAAGGTCCCTTCCTACGGTAAAATTCTATTCTGTCCTACAAAGACTATTCTAAGATGACTTTGAAAAAAAAGATAAAACCCAGTACTTAGGGGGGAAAAAAAAATGAGGCAAGACCTAACAAGAGATATCAGACTCTGGCGATGCAGACATTTTATTTAAAATTGAAAATCCTTTCTGAAATCCAATTTTTATAATTTTTCAGGCAATGAGTACTTAGTGTTTTCAGGTGAGTCATTGCTATGACCTTGGAAAATGGAGAAAGAGATGGTTTCTAAAATCTGTTACTTAATCGATTTCTAAGGCTATTACCAAGGTCAGTATCAGGTGCCACTCCAGAATATAAAGATTCTAATAATGAAGCTCTTTTCACTCGCCAAGGGTTTCCCTCTGCTCTTCCCCACCCTGTTAGTTTTCTTTTAGGGCTTTTCAGAAATCAGGAAACACCTCTTAATCAGTCACTAGGTTAGCAATGGCAATCAGATGGATTGAGTGTTTCAATGCCCCCTGCTAATCAAGATCAAATTGGTCAGACGGCTCTGATTTCATTGCACCTTGGTCTGTACTACTTTGCAATGAGATGTGAGTTCCACACAGAGAGAGAAATGGGAAACAGGAATACCAATCATTCTCCTTCTTTTCCTTTTCCCTCTATTTTGAAATGGATTCTGTGTAAGAGTCATCCCTTTTATAAGTTCTTTTCGCTGTTCCAGACCCAGCTAAGAGCATAAGTTGTTTTCTCGTAAGGCTGAACACCTCCACAGCCTGTGCTGGAAGAACCATCTCTCTGTTAACCTTTTTAAGCCCTTGATGATTTCAGAACAGTTCTGTCTGAAGGTAAGTAGTGACCTCTGTTGAACAAAATACTATAAAAATTTGACCATCACTTGAGGTATGATTTTTTTAAGTGTAATGGAATGATATTATATTGAAGTTTTAAGTTCAGTATGTAGGTTCTATTCTCTTTCAATCTAGTACTAGTTGGTCATCCTGATCTTTAAAAAAATAAATTCTGTTTTTCATTCGGAATATGCTTTATGGAGTTTCCCATTCAAGGTGCACCTTGATTGAAAATCAACACCTTCATCTGAAGTATCTATCATTGTACCTTCAATTGGGATCTCATATTTGAAACCACTGCTTGGATTCTCTGCTAAAAACATCTTTATCCACAAAGCTTGTCTCTCCTACTTGACAATCACCTAAGTCTCTCAAACCTCAGATTCAGCATCTTTGAGACTCTTCCTGAGCCACAGAGGATATATTTTAAGTCTTATACCCCAAACACCCCTCTAAACATGAAGAAACCCATCCAGATGCTTTCTTTTACTGCTAAAGTGA